GACAGCTAGCACAGAGGCACGGCTGCCGACCCAGCGGGCTGGCACGCAGCTCTGCTGCACACCGCGCCTGAGAAGCAGCTGGGCCCCTGGCCCCAGGCTGCCCCGACGCGGTTGCTCCTCGAGCCTGCGGAGATCGAACCAGAGCGCGGGCGGGCATGCGCGCTCGGGTCGCCCTCCACGCCAGAGCGACGGGCAGGGCATGCTGTCGCGGACTTGAGCGGGCAGAGCGTCAGCAACTACATTGAGCGGAAGCGCGCAAGCACGCCGGAAGAAGCGAGCGCTCGACTACACCTCTCCAACGGCAGCGCAACCCGCCAACAAGCTCCTGACCTCAAACTGGTCTGGTTGCATTGCCGATGGGGTCGGAGCCCGACCCCGAGTGAGGGCGAACCCTCACTCCCGGGTCAGTCTCCGCGATATGAAGGGCGTTCTGCGCCGGTCGGATGGCGAGCCAGGCAAGACGCGCGTCGAACACGACGCGCCTAGGACGGCACCTCGCCACCAGCATCGCAACACTTCCTAAAGGCCGAGCCTAAACAGGGTGTCGCAGTGCCACTAGCAACGGAAACCGATCCCATGCGTCGGCAAGTCCACGCAGCTAGCTCAGCTTCCGCTCGACAGCTGAGCCGTCGCAGGCCGAAAGGGCCGCGGCGATGCACAAGCGCGCCGTGCAGCGTAGCGAAGGCCTACCCCCGGCATCGCAACAAGTCCTTTGGCACCTGGCCACTGCTGGACTTCGTTGAATTGCCGAGGGCATCACGCGGCGGAGCCCGATCCCGTGCGCAAGCGAACCTACGCAACTAGGTCAGTGCCCGCTGAGGACTGCGATCGCGAGAGCAGCCAGAGGCTGCGAGACAGGCAGGGCACAGGACGCGCCGCTTCATGTGGAAGGGCGCCCCGCGCCAGACAGATGGGCGGGCGGGCGCAAAAGTGCGCGTCAGACGACGCGCCGCGACGCACCTCGCCAACAGCATCGCGACACTCCCCTGAGGCCAGAGGCCTAGATAGACAAGACTGTCGCAGCGCCGCTGGCAACGGAGCCCGACCCCATGTGTAAGTGGACCTACACACCTGGTTCAGCTTCCACTCATCGTGGCAGGCCATGCACTAGCACCGAGCTTGCTACAATAGCGGGCTTCAGAAGGCGGAGAGAGGCGCACGCCGAAGGGACAGGACCGACAGCAACGCAACGTGTCTCTTGGCACCTGGCCTCTGCTGGACGTAGTTGCATGGCCGCTGGCCTCGGGCCCCGATCCCGTGCGTCGGCGAGCCCGCGCGCATGGGTCAGCCCCTGCTTACGACGGCTGCGCGCGGCAGCAAAAGGCTGCGAGCGAGGCGGCGCCGGGCGCAGCCATGCCGCTTCAAACACCGAACCAGCAGCATCGCATCCTGCCCCTTGGCGCCTGGCCTCCCAGGACTGGTTGCATTGCCGCTGGCATCGGAGCCCGATTCCGTGAGTCGGCGAATTTAAAAACCTGGTTCAGCTTCCGCAGCGACCTGCGCCAGCCGGAGCGCATGCACCGAGACGGGGCCACGCGCGCGCGGCGGGCGAACGAGGGCTGCAGGAAGCATCGCTGCGACCAAACCGACAGCAGCGCAACGTGCCCCCTAGGCCCTGGCCCCGCCTGGACTGTTGCATTGCCATCGGCCTCGAGCCCGATCCCGCGCGCGAGCGAAGTTGCGCGCGCGGTTCGTGCCCGAAGCGGTGAGAATGCTCAGCCGTCTATGCGCCTGCGCAGGCGCCGATAGGGCTCAAGGTCACCGGTGCTGCCCTGCCCCGCTGGCTGCAGCCCGCGCTCAAGGCGGCCGGGCACCGCCTTCTGCCCGTCGTTCTCGGGGGCCTTCGGGCACTCCTGCGCGAGGCCCGCAAACCCACGACTCCGCGTCCAGCGGCCGCAGTTGACGCGGAAAAGGTGGGCGCCTGCTCGCCGCAGCTCGCGGGCGTCGCGCGCGTCGAGCCCCCGCCATGGAGGCAATTTGGGCGGCGGCAGCGGCGCCGGCTGCGCCGCGGGTTGCGCACAAGGCGCCGAGGCCGCACTGCCGCTGCTAGATGCGGCTCCCGCGGCGCCAGCAGCTCGCCCATCGCCGTCGTCGGCAGCGCCCTGCGCACCGCTGGCCTGGCCGGAGAGCAGCGCTGCGCTTGCGGTGAAGAGCGCCGCGGCCGCTGCGACTGTGCCCGATGCCCCTTCGAATCCCGACGTCCACGAGCCCGAGATAGCGGCGCCGCGCCCTGCGCACTCCTGACAAGCCCAAGCAGCGTCGCAGCCGACCTCGAGCCACGCGCCGCGCCGACCGCGCGCCCTCCGCGAGAAGTCGCGGAACGAACAGCGACTCCTCCAGCGCATCCTGCGCCCGCGCCAGTTGCGCCTCACAACAGCCATGCCAGGCCCGTCATGTCCGTCCTCTGTCGTCAACTCTGCGTCGCCCCCTTGCATTGCGGCGCCCAGCCAGCGGAATACCTCCTGGACAAGTCGACCCTGGCGCAGGCTGCGTGACTTGTGGATGAAAATGTCGCCGAAGCCGATGCCCTCGACCGCCGCCCAGAGGCGCGCCCATAGCTCTCTGCAGGGCCTCTGCCACTGAAGGCACCGCGCCTTGCCCGCGGCGAACCCGTCCAGGAGCAGCTCGCAGTCCGCGTAGATCCTGACTGGAGGCACGCGGTTCTGGGGCCCCTCGATGGCCGCGGCGATCTCCGCAGCGCCCGATAACTGCGGTTAGGGCCAGGGCAGCGGGCCGAAGAGGCTGACGGCCTCGGCGCCCTGCCCCGCGACATCCACCGCCCAGCCGCCGCGCGCAGAGACCAGGCCCGGGTCCACGACGCTGCCGTCCGTGAACAGGTCGCCCATGAGTGGTCGACCCACCAGGTCGGCTCGACGTTCCTTGCGCGCCGTCCTGTCCCCCGCTGGCAGAGGGGGGGCCCTCCTGTGCTCCGGTGCTAGCGCCCGCGACCAGAGGGGGTCTTCCGTCGCGCTCAGGCTGGCCACGTCGACGATGGCCCCCAAGTGGATGTCATCGGGTGGTCGCCTCTCGTCGGCGTCGCCGTTAGCCTCCCACTCGGTGCGCCCGAGCGTCGTGGCGGGGCACTGCCGCGCCAAATGTCGCGCTGCGCCGTGGGCCGGGCACCCCGGGGGGCGCCGCGGCGACGAGGCCAACGGGCGCTCCTCCGCGAAGCGCCGTGCCACGGGCTAGAGGCAGCCCGCCAGCGCGCTGCTTGACCATGTGCTTGCTCATCCTCTTGCGGCGCGGGATGTGCCCGGCGCTGGACAGGGCCCCCCCCCAGCCAATGGCACCAGGCATGGGCGCTTGCCCGCGCCCCGCCGAATGGTTCCAAGAGGTCCAAGAAGCCAAGTGCTCCGAAACAGTCCAAGATGGCTCCAAGAGGCCCTCCCGGAGAGCCCGAAAAGGTACAAACTATTGCGTCATAGGCGGCTTTTCCCCAAGATCTTGGACGCCTCGCCTGTTCGACTTTCCGAAGCTCCAAGGCGGCCCAAGCAGCCCCGACAGGGAGACGCTCCAAGACGGCCCACAGACGGCCCAAAGAGAGGCCCAAGAGGGGAACGACGAACTGAAAGTTCGAGCCCTCCGCCCCGAGGGAACCAAAGCCGCCCCAAGAGGCCTCCAAGACGCCTGCGCCTCCCCACAGGCCCCAAGCCGAATCGTTGATGTTCTGATGGTTGTTGTAAGACGCGGGACTTCTCAGGCTCCAAGAGCGCCCCGACACCACCGCACGAGGGGGCCAAAGAGGGGGGCCTCGAGTTGAAAAATCCGGCCGTCCGCACCGAGGGAGGGCCCTTGGACTCTCAAGGGGGTCCCCAGGAGGCTCCAAGGCGGGAAGCTGAACTCGAACGCGCTGAACCCGCACGAACTGAATTCGCACGGCTGAACTCGCACGGACTGAACTCGCACGGAGCTGAACTCGCACGCGCTGAGCTCGCACGCGCTGAACTCGCACGCGCTGAACTCGCACCGGCTGAGCTCGCACCGGCTGAACTCGCACGCAGATGCAACACTTACAGCGTCTAGGGCTCTACAGCGTGGGAGTTCAGTTGTGCGAGATCAACGCGTGCGAGTTCAGTCCGTGCGAGTTCAGCCCGTGCGAGTCCAGTCCGTGCGCGTTCAGCTGCGTGCGAGTTCAGTTTCGTGCGAGTTCAGTTCGCGTTAGCTTAGCTTCAGACGAGTTCAGTTCGTGCGAGTTCAGCTTCGTGCGAAATTAGTTCGCGCCAGTCTGCGGCCCTCCAGGGGCCCACGCCTCTGTGACAGTACGCTCTTGGAAGTACAGATCTGCGCACGATTCACACAATCGGCTCGCAGAGGCCTCCACGCGAAGGAACGCGTGTTGAACGCGCTCACGCCGCGGAATATGAATCAATACGTATGACCGGGCGTCATCAAGTCGAATCGATCATCATGGACGTTGTGCAAATTCGGATCACCAAAGAGGGCTGACTGCCACGCGCGCACACGGAAGCGCGGGAACCGTTGCCAGGACCCCCGCGAGCGGGGAAGGGTCGTTAGCCAGGCAGCACAGCCACAAGCCATCTCAAAACGGGGGCTGCTGGACAACGCCAACCATGTACGGCAGGCTCCCGTCGCGACGACGTCGGCGCTGGCTTCTGACACCGCGTGGATCGGTCGACCTTCAACGATCGGGACTTCCCGATGAGCCGGATCGTTCAACATATGACGATCCCGGACCATGGGCGGCGTTCCACCTTGAACGCCCGCGGCGCGGAGGAGGAGGGAGGGAGGGAGGGAGGAGGAGGAGGAGGAGGAGGACGAGGAGGAGGAGGAAGGGGAGGGGGAGGAGGAGGAGGTCCTCCCCAGGGGCAGCCTTCCGCCCCGGATCCGTCTCCGACGGAGGAGGAGGAGCAGCAGGAGAACGCCAGAGAGGTAAGGCCGGGCATCGAATCGAAATGAAGCCTCAGGGCCAAAGGAATGTGGCATCGCATGCCGCAAACCTTGATGGGATGACTGCGACGGTTGGCGATGCTTTTTTTTCACGTTGCGCATTGGGAACACAACAGCCCTAGGAGGCAGGCCGGTTCAAGGTCCCACCTCTTTTTGTTATGTTTTTTGGTTAGGGGCTGCTCTTTAAAATGCGGGTGATGCTCCGCGCCGCCATCACAAAACAAAGCTACGCGCAGGCACCCATCAGAAAGAGGCACGGTGTGAACAAGTGGAGGCGAATATGGGAGAGCGCGCTCAACGGGAACAAGGCACCCGAACAAAACCCTTCACGCATTGGATCGTTTCGAAAAGCAGCTCTCGCCGTAACGCCGCGCATGTTTGTTTTGAAAGGGTCCAGCAGTGGCACGGATGGACGGCGGTGCTGTTTGAAAGCGCAGCTCTCGCGTTAGCGGCGGGCACAGTCGGTTGAACAAATGCAACAATCGCACGGGTTCGTACGGTTGAACCTTCCAGGCATGGTGCCTTGGAACGAGTTCCCATTGACAGGATGGAAATGTCCCAAGGATGCGAAGAGTGTACGTTTCCAGGCATGGGATTATGGTGGGAAGTAAGGTATCAGGACGGAACCGTCCCAATGAGTCGTGGGGTTCAAGTCCTCAGAACTCCAATTTTGATTGTGTGCGGAACGGGGTTCGCCCGTGCGACGTCGTGAAGTGATACTACTAGGGTTACCGAGAGGAGCATTCTTCGGCCGATAAGGGTTATTTCTTGGGGAAAGGTCAGGGGGGCGGTCGATTTGCGATGGCTCTTGGTTCTGTGGTGGTGTCTTCGTGCCTAGCATTGTCGCGCACATCTGCCCGTCTGTCTATCTTTGTATATATCGATTTCCCTTTGTATCTATTGTTCGAAATCCTTATCGTACTACGTATATGTATCAATATATCTAGACGTGCTTCGATACACATATATATATATGTGTATATGTCTACATGCTTGTATATATGTATATATTTACACACACCTGTCCATAAACCGGTCGTTCAAAAAGTAACCATATATATATATATCGAAATAAATGTTCACATATACACGTCGGACTAATAGGTTTGTACAGGTATATGTCAATCGGGACATCCATCTGGACAACCATGACGGCACCCATGAGGGCAACCATCGGGGCAAGCATCGGGACAACCAGGAGTACAAAATCGGGACAACCATCGGGACAAACATCGGGACAACCATCGATACAAACGTCGGAACAGCCATCGGGGGAACCATCGGGGCAACCACCCGGACAACCATCGGGGCAACAAACAGGACGACCATCGTGACAACCATCGTGAGAAGCACCGGGACAACACCCATCAATCGGGACAACTATCGGGAGAACCATCACGTCGGGACAACCATCGGGCCAACCATCGGACAGCCATCCGGGCAACCATCGGGACAACCATCGGAACAATCTGCGGGACCCATCTGGACAATCATCGGATCAACCATTGGGACATTCATCGGGAAACCGTTGGGACAACCATCCGAAACAACCACCGTCGGGACAACCATCGGGAGAACAATCGGGAGAACCTCCGGGTCAACCAGTGGGACAAACATCGGGCAAACCTTCGGGGCAATCATCGGGAGATTCATAGGGACACCCATCGGGACAACCATTGGGACAACCGCTGGGGCAACCACCAGGACAACCATCGGGACAACCATCGGGACAATCATTGGGACAGCCATCGGAACACCCCCTATTTACAGGGACAACCATCAGAAGAACCGTCACATCGGGACAATCGTTGTGTCCAACCATCGGGGGAACCATCGGGCAAACCATCGGGGCAAACATCGGGGCAACCACCGGGGGAACCATCGGGACAACCATCGGGGCAACCACTATCCATCAGGACAACCATCGGGGCAGCCATCAAATCGGAACAGTCATTGGGCCAACCATCGGGAGAAGCATCGGGCATACCGTCGGGACAAACAACCAGGCAACCATCGGAACAAGCGTCGGAACAATCATCGGGACAACCGTCGGGGCCACCTTCGGGACAATGATCGGGACAACGATCGGGGCAACCATCGGGGCAAACATCGGGACAACCACCGGGGGAACCATCGGGACAACCATCGGGGCAACCACTATCCATCAGGACAGCCATCGGGGCAACCATCAAATCGGAACAGTCATTGGGCCGACCATCGGGAAAAGCATCGGGCATACCGTCGGGGCAGACAACCAGGCAACCATCGGGGCAAGCGTCGGCACAATCATCGGGACAACCGTCGGGGCCACCTTCGGGACAACGATCGGGACAACGATCGGGGCAGCCATCGGGGCAACCATCGGATCAACCATCGGGAGAACCTTCGGGACAACCATCAATAGAAGCACCAGGACAACCATCGGGACAACGATCGCCATCGGCAGAACCACTGGGACAACATTCGGGACAACCTCAGGACGACCATCGGGACGCCCGTCGGAACAACCATCGGGACAAACATCGGGGCAACCATCGGCGCCCATCGGGGGAACCATCGGGAGAGCCGTCGGGAGAAACATTGGGGCAACCATCGGAGCAAATCATCGGGACAGCCATCGGGAAAACATCAGCACAACCTGGAAGGCGCGCTTGGGGGGCGACCTTTAGGTCTCCATGGGCACGAACCAAAACCGAAACCGATGTTCCAGTTGGAAACACTTCCGTTTACAATCCTTCCAACCGCCGATGTACACTCATGGAGGACGGCCCCGTATTAGAACGGCACGGGCCCAGCAGCGGCGGTGGCTGAAGACGGGCCATGGTTGGATGGCGGAATGCAAAAGGGATGTAAGAGGGCGGGGCAGAGACGATAATCAGAGGGTGGAAGAGGGGCAAGCACTCGGGAGGCGCGACCAAGACAGGGGAGTTGCGTCGGAGCGGGTTCACTCTGCGATGCTCGCGGGGCCACAGAACGTCTCGTGGATCCGCTTGGCGGTGGGCCCGAAGAAGTCGCTGAGGTCGTCGTCGGCCTTGCGCTTGGCGCGCGTGAGGCGGTTGGTGAGGACGTCTGTTGCCGCGGCAATTTCTGCCGTGAACGCGTCGGGGTCGATGCCGGGCGCAAGCTTCCACATGTCGGCGACAGCGAGCTCGGAGTCCGTCGCGTTGACGAAAGTGACCAAGATAAGCGCCCGGTCCTTTTTGGTCAAGGCGTGCCGGCCCAGACGCCTTGTCGGACACGCCGTGGTCGCCTTCCAGGCAGTCTTCTGCTCGGTGTCGGTCTCCGCTACGTCTGTGACGTAGCTGGTGATGGCGAAGCCGTCGTCGCGCGGGGTGGTATCTGGGTCCTTCGTGGCCTCGACGAATAGGATGGCCCCGCTGGTCAGGAACCGCGCAGGGCCGATAGCGACGCAGAGCTTCCCCGTGGCACTCATCGAAATGGCGCGGGCTGTAGTCGGGGCAAGGCGGCTGTCGTTCTGCGGGGCGAGCAATGGCACGGTGACGTCGAAAAGGCAAGGCTCTGCACACACGATAGCAAGGCGCGGCTCGTTAACCTGGTCGCCCTTGCCGCCGGGGGAGGCAGCCAGCGTTGCGCGGACGCGTGCCCGAGACCACGTCATGGACCCTTGCGCGACCTCGTCTTGAAACTCGGCCTTGTCAGCGCGCCCCGTCAACGCGAGGGCAGCCGCCTCCGTGATCTTAGCGTCGACCGAACCGGTGTAGTCGGACATGCGCACGGACGCCCACACGCGGTCCCCGGCCTTGGTCAGCAAATTCTCCGTGTCGCTGAGGGAAAAGAATGCGGCGGGGATTTCGAACAGCTTATCCGGAGCCACGGCCTTGCTGTGTAAGAGCACGTCCAGAATTGCCGACGTGGAACTCACGGCGGGCCCATCTTTGTAGTTCGTGGAGTCGTGCACCGAGAGGCTGGCCTGGCCGTGGAGTTCGTGGTACCACCGTTCCTTCTTCCTCTTTCACAAACGTTCGTGCGGCGGTCTTCCGCCGCGTCTGGCCTTGCGTTGACGTGATGCGCGCAGCCCTGGCTAGTTGCTCACAGTTCCCCACCCTGGCCGAAGGCTACGCTGTCAGCCCGCGCCGCAGCGCACCGGGCGCGAGCAGGATCCGCCCGCGCCGCAGCAGCAATGGGACGTGCACCTCGAGACGCGTGGAGCAGCGACTTGCAGCCCTGGCCATCACGCGGACGCACGCCACATATTTCTCCCACTACGAAGGTGTCAGCGACGCCACATGCCTCTCCTACGACGGTGTCAGCGACGCCACATACCTCTCCTACGACGGTGTCAGCGACGCCACATACCTCTCCTACGACGGTGTCAGCAACGCCACATACCTCTTCTACGACGGTGTCAGCGACGCCACATACTTCACCTACGACGGTGTCAAGATGACGGAGTTCACACACAACCAGTCAGTGATACCAAGCTGGAATGGAGATCCAGCGAAATGGCGAGATTACAAAAAGGAGGTAAAATTGTGGAAGCTCAGTGAGAATTTGGAAGTGACACAAAGTTTGGCATCGAAGTTCGTCCTGCGTTTGACGGGCACAGCCAGGTCGGCCGCTCTCAATATGACGGAGCAGGAACTCCACCCGCCGCCGGACGACGGCATCGAGGATGCGAACGAGAAGAAGCGCGATCGCAACCAGAAGGGCATCGAGAACGTGCTAATGCACCTCGAGGCAAACCTAGGCCAGCAGAAGCCGGTGCAGAAGGGAGAGACGCTAGAAAAGTTCTTCGAGTCGACTCAGCACCATCGCCGCCGTGGAGAACGCATGACGGATTGGCTCGTGCGATTCGAGGCGGGATTACAGCAACTACGTGAGAACGAGGTTGACCTCACTACGCTTGACGACGTGGCCGGCTGGTTCCTGCTACGCAAGGCTGGGCTCACGGCCGAGCGCCGTGAGCGCGTCGTGGGCAACTTGCCGGACGAGCACTACTCATTTCAGCGCATCAGGGGCCTGCTGGTGCGCATGTTCCCCGATATCCACACATCTGAACGACGCGCAAGCTTGCCGTCACGATCGTGGCCGCAGCGATCAAACAGTAGTTGGCAGCGCTCGCCGCCAAGCCGAGCACGTTCAGCCAACATCGCTGACGAGCCAGAAGACGAGCATGAGGACTCGGAGGACGGCGACGACAACGAGACGGAGGCAGACGTCCAGGACATCGTGCGCCAGGAGCTCGAGGCCTTCAGCGCCGAGCTGGAGCAGTCCAATTACGACCTCGGCGAGGTGTTCGATCGGGACGACTCTGCCAAGGTGGAGGC